TCAGTAAGCAGCCATGCAGGGTGGCTGGTACCACATCAAAGACTTTGAACTTTATTCTGAGGACACTGAAAAACAATGGGAAGATTTTTAAATGAAAGAAGGCCACATTCTGAGTGTCATTTATAAAAATACCGAGTCTGAGCAGCTCAGGAGGCTGAGGCAGGAGGATTGCGTGTTCAAAGCCAGCATAACTTAGCAAGGCATTAAGCAACTCAGTGAGACCCCGTCTCTAAATAAAATACAAAAGAGGGTAGGGGATGTGGTTCAGTGGTCCAGTGCCCCTGAGTTTAATCCGTGGTACCAAAAAAACAAAACAAAACCTGAGTCTGGCTGCCAAGTAGGGAGTGCACTGCAGAGAGGTAAGAGCCACTTTGGGAAGCCTCAGAGGAGGCCATGCAGTAGGCTGAGCAACCAGGGCCCCTGCTAAAGTAGCAGCTGTCTGCATGGCAAGAAGTAGATAGGTCCAAGAGCTCTTAAGCAGGTAGAACAGGCCAAATCTAAAGGTCCATTGGACATAAGGTTTAAGGAGAAAGAAGGACTTACATATTGTCTCGGTTATAATGACAGAAACCACGTCTGTCCTGCTCCAAGGTACCCAGAAGAGCATCAGAGCAAAGTATTGGGTAACAAGTCAGAATCAGAGCCATGTGCCTATAGTCCCAGCTACTTCGGAAGCTGAAGAGGAGATCACTTCAGCCCATTAGTTCAAGGCCAGTCTGAACAAAATAGTGAGACCCAGTTCTAAAAAAAGTAAAAAGGAAAAGTAAAGCAAAACACTGAACACGTACCCCCTGGAGAACATTCTTGTTCATAAGACTTCACTTCATCTAGATGGAGATAGGAGAAGTGAGTCAGAAAGTGCGAGTGATTCAGGCCTGATTCACGCTTTTTTCTAACTAGGAGCTACGTGCTGAGCCACCTGCAAGCTGAAACTAGCTCCTCCCACGGAGCATCCTGTGTCATTGCACCATCTTTTCCACCTAGTCATTTGTTTAAAGGTGACAGGAGGAAATGGTGGCCATTTGAAACCTCTAAGCTAAAATCTTTTAACTTCACTGAGTTAAACCACAATTACAGTTAGAATCCCTTGCCAGAAAAAACAAGGTCAGGATCCATAAGCTGCATTATCTGTTGTCGCAGCCAAAGTTTCAGACACTTCCAGGCTCTTTGAAAGCATGAACCAAAGGATCAAAGGAGGAGAGCAGACGGTTGACACAAGAGGAAGGCAAATATAAGGAGCTGCTTTTTAATGGGAGAAGATTTGATTTACTAATAAGCAAAAAATATTAAATTGAAAAGGATGCAGTATTTCCCACTTATTCAGTCAGATAAGAATAAAATTTA